GATTTTAAGATAAAAATACTTTTATATATCAGAATATTTTCAAATTTCACATGCAAAATCTTTATAACCTTCAGATAATTATCAAATGTTTTTAATAAAAAACTTCATATTTTATCTGTTATTTTCACTATTGCATCTCTGTATGAGTTCAGTCAATTTGATCGATCTCGTAACCACCACAAAAATTAGGAAATAAATATTGTTACGTCTCTGCTCGTTTGATAATTTCCGGTAGAAATTCTTCCCAAGAAACTTTAGCGATACAAGTCCTTTCTTAAATAAAACTAGTTTATTCTTTCTCAATACAACTTTGCAATACACAGAATTTCCAAGGTCACTTTAACACACGCTATAATTCACAACGAATGATTTAACGCACTTTACTTACTACCGCGCTTGACTCAATTATCCGTCTATATCTTCAATCTCTCTGTCCACTATTCAATTCCGATTGATTGTCTCGCTTTATCTGGTGCACTTATATACAAGAATAGATGGCACCTAGCAAATACTGGATTATTCGTGATGATCCCCGATCGTTCTAGAATCTCATGACGTGTTACTAGCGTCACGTGACTTCCGCTGTTGTAACAATATAAATTATGCTTTTATTGTTATAGAATGACTACAAATTACAACTCAAAAACAGATATGTTTAGTCTAAATAGCTTAAGTGTCATAACCTTATACATTTATATATATATATATTACTTTTATTATACTGACCTTTCAGCTGTGCCTGGCTAATATCACATAAGTTACAATGATGCAGCTCATGTACACTCATGTTACCATATCCAATAATATAAAACTGACCTTTACTAAGTAACCTGTCTTGGCTGCATTTTAGTAATTAGTATTTTGTAAAATACAGTCAAATTTCAGTTATAATACATTATATATGTATATAAATTATTACTATTTACAAATAAGTTCTTAAACTTATTTTTCTTAAAACAAAGAACCATAAATAAATAAGTATAGCAAACAATTATATCTTCTAGTTATGACCTTTTTACTCACTTGCTGCTTGCCATAGGTTGCTAAGCCTTATAAAATTTCACATGTGGAGGATATGAAACAAAATCTTTTTTTTTTTAGGTTTTCTTATATACATTTGAAATACCCCAAAAAATCATAAATTACTATATCGATACTATAGAATTTCACTATAATTTATCAAGTTTAGTAACTAAGCTGTATTTGGGTTTTAAAAAAAAAGGAATTTTCAAGCAGACTAAAGACTCAATTTATCAATTTGAAGTCTTGTATCAAAAGAACTATTTGTGATGTCATAATACTTGAAAATGGCTGAGAAAACCACTAGGGGACATTCTAAGCTTTTGATTGGTTATTCACATGTCATAGATGGAAGTAATTGTATCTTAGGAAGTATTTCCAAAAATGGAAAGAGGTTCTAGCTTGTCAATATAAGTAATTTGAGTTCCTAATTCGTAAGAAACTATAGACTTTATATATGGACATCATAAACCTCTAATTTGAACCATTGTTGCATTCAACATACCACGTGACACACAAAAATCAATGTTTAGGTGTTTTTTTTAAATATTTACTTTTAAATTAAGAAATTAAATAATGTATAATACTAAAATTTGAATTATAATCTACAATTTGATACCAAACTTATTGACATAAATTCATAAAATAGTAAATTTTGAATGCGAGTCAAAGACATGATGACATGACCTTTGACCCATGTGGAGAGGGTTAAATAAGAGGTGTGACACTGTCTAATTTCTTATCTTCTGGTACCTCACCATTTGTTAATGATTCATTAAAAATTATGGTTCAAAGTCCATTACACTTCTCTTTTGCTTCCTTTAATATCCTATGACAAATATTATCTGGTTCAGGTGATTTATCTTCCATCAATTTTCAAACCTTTAATCTTATCAGTTCTGGCTTATCCCTAACTTTATTCAAGAACATCAGATAATCTTCTGATGGAAGTACTATTTATAGAATCCATATTTCATCTTTTTTAGTAAAAACTGATAAGAAATAAAACTTTAGGATGTTCAACCATCTCACAGTCATTAACCAAAACTCTAAAAGTTTCATTTTTTAAAAGATAAACTTCTGTTCTCTCTAATATACAAACAAAAATCTTTACTGTTGATTTTCTGCAAAATGTTTCTTGTATACCATTTTCAACTTTCTTATCATTTTTAATCAGTTCTCTAATATTTTTATACATCTAAGTATTTTATTCTAGCAATGTTTGAAGTTTCTAAGTAAGTAATGCTTTTCTTTAATTATACATTTGATTTCCTTGCAACAAATCCTTTATAAACTGACAACAGCTTCTTCACTTGTAGCCATTATTATGTTTTTACACACACACATGCTCAAATAACACTTACAATGTAGCCAGGCCAGACACTGCTTGAATACCCACCTCAAGTACCACTTATACTGAACTATCAAAAGGATAGTCCCTATTCATGCCCAATCAAATGTATTGAATCCTTTATTCTGCACTAAGAATAATAAAAAACCTTAATCCAAGAATTCTTAGAAATGAAACAGGGTATTTATTTGTACCTTCAAAAGTAAAACAAAATATACTAACAAATAAATGCTGAGCCACGACTTTTAGAAATACACATCTAAACTTCAAAGAATTTCTCCCTCAATAACATAAATCTTGACACAACTTCAAAACTTCCAATTAAACAACTTACCTTTATACAACTTCAACAATAACTATGTAACCTTCATACAAGAAGTTAGAAAAAAAAAGACCAAAGAAAAAAACAACCTTCTAAATTAATCATTAAAACCTGTTTGATAACACAAACTCTGATTAATTATAACTCACAACACTTGAGGTTTTTTTTAAGCATAATCCAATCTATTCTATAGGTTCTCAAGAATATGGCAATTAGTCTTTAGTTCTCTTCTATACTTTTATTCACAACGAGACATTATAATTGAACACAGGATAATTAATGGCTATTGACAAAACATCTGATCAATATATTTACAGTGGCATACTAATTTACATATGGCCATGTATAATATCTATTGTGACATAAACCTGAGCACTACACAGTGTCTATGGTTTTGTCTCACTGTGATGACAGTATTAGTCTATTAACACTAATTGGTGTAAGCAAACATTATACATGAATAAACTCAAGACAGAGCCAAACAAAAGAGAAAAAAAGGTAAGTCGAATATAAACATAATAAAAATTAATAAAAAAACGATGGAATACCACCTTACATCTTTTGAGGTTAAATATGACATTTTTCCTATTCTTCCTAACCAGAACATACTTGCTTTGTAGAAATTTGGCCTCTGAATTAACATTCCAATTTCACTATAAAGATCTTGGCAACTTTCTAAATCTGAAAGAGTGATCTGCAGCTTTTTCCTACAACAAAACTCCTGTCCTCAGATATACAGATGGACACCCATTCTGATTCTACAAGCACATTCATACTAGCCTTTTTAGTATCTTCAGTTTGATTGGCTTTATCTCTTCCTTAAATTGCCATCCCTCTCCTCCTTTTAAATAATCTGTCACTGTCAAATAACTCGTACCTAGGAACTTCAGTATTTTCTATCATCACAGTAATTCTAACAATGTTAAAACCTTCCTTCCCAACTAAGGCCCAGAATTATTTTATTTTATTTCTAATACAATGAATTCTGCCAATATCCAGAACTTCTAACCTATTCTGATCCCTGAATCTTACTATCATTCCTCTTATCATAAACCTAATAACCCTCACACAATCTTCCCTGACTATATTAGAAACTGTACTTTTTCAAATATTCCCAAATTGTCACTTTTCCCTCACTACTCTTAGAAGAATTTTATTTTAATTAAAAATATAACAACTGTATCCAACAGCATTTATCAGCTTACTCTAATTAAACAATATACCTTTGCACAACTTCAACAATAATTATACTGTTGAATGCCTCAACTGTGCCCCACTTAATCCTTCTTCACTCCAGAGAAATTTAATACTTTAAATCCATCTTCGTAGAGTAAATAACTTACACCAGGAGACCAAACTTGTACAGAATCCTCAAAATGAGACTTCATCAGTCTTGTTCAAGGCTACAATAACCTTCTTCACAAATTCATCATTCTATACAGTACATAGAAAAAAGAACTATTTGCTCTTTTCACCACAGCTAAAGCAGAAGACTTTAGTGCTTTATCAATAATAATACTTAAATCTTTTATTTCAAGTACTAACAATATCCTCACAAAAGTCCTTTCTAGAATTTGCACACACATTTGATTAAGATATGCAATCTCAACAGAATCGGTTTTCCCGCTATTTCATAATCACAGAGAAAATGAAAGACACTATTGCCTCATGACCCATTAAATCATTAATATTACCTTAAATAAAGAATAAAAAAGTCCTAAGAAGAAAAAAAAACCCACAAATCACACTTTTCCATTTAGAGAAATGCCCATTTGTCACCTCTCTTTCTACTGCTATGCCAATTTCTAATGCATTTCTTGAGTTTTTCACTAAGCCCATGAACATACAACTTACTAGCTAATCTTTTGTGAGGTACTTTATCGAAGGCTTTCTGAAAGCCAAAGTGTGGAAAATTAAACAAGACAAATGTAAAAAAAAAAAAACTTTACAAAACTATGGCATCAAACATTAGTTGAGCATTAACTTTTATAATAATTTTTAAATGACTTCTGACAATGTATTCCAAATTCTTGTTCACAACAAAAGTTAGAAGTTATCCAGGCCTTCCAACACACCTTTAGAAAATTACAAATCATATTAGCAAACTTCAAGTCATCTGGAATTTCTTTAGTGTTAAAAATACTAGTTAAATCATCCACTGGCTCTCAGCTAATACCCTTCAAGATTTTATGGTATATTTCATTAGGTCCAAAAGCTTTATTTCCAGCTTTTCCAGAACAGCCTATTCTTCAACATAAATAGTATTCAGAAATCTAAAATAAAGAAAAACTACCTATCCTGAAAATAATCTTCATGTCTAACATATTTTGCATTAATGTTATTCATCTACATTGATGCTTGATGTGTAGACTGAAGAATGAAAACATTGACATTATCAGCAAGTACTCCTCCCTTGTGAGGAGGAATACCTATCATTCCTATTTCTTCTCCATGTTACATGACTCCTAAAACTTTATTTATATATTTTACCAGGTTTTAAATGTTCAATCACAATTTCTTCTATAATGCAATTAAAAATAGATACTTAATAGACTCTCCCAATTAGAACAGTAATGCTGTTACACTAAAGCCTAGATTCCTGTATGTGGCAATGAAGAAAGCAAAATTAATTTTACTGAATTTAAAGAAATTATATGTGTTAAAAGATATTTACCTGAAGGCGGGGATTGGCCAAACCCCCGTTTTTGTTTCTGGTGCTTCCCTGATAGAACAATGCTGTAAAGAACTGACTTCACTTAGAGTGAATGCAAATGATTATTGAAATTGTATCTTCAAGCACAGCAGTAATGTTACAAAGAAATCTAATATTAATGTTATCATGCTACAAGTTAGTCAGTGGTAAGCCCAACATGGAGAATTACTTTAAGAAAACAGTAACCATTCCTTTTCTTGAGCACATTATCAGTAATCCTTCCTCCAGATTTGATGCACATATAAAGCAAGCAGCATCAATTCAGAAACTTACGCCATCAAAACTCACACAAGAGTTTCTTATCTATGATATCAGATGGGCTATAGATTTTTACAGGAAGATTTGGCAAATCCTGATATTTTTGATGAAGAACTTCATCAAGCAAAGACAAGATGGCTTTCTATACCTCTCCAGGACAGGCCCTAGATGCCGTGCTTCAGTGTACCATGTATCTTTATGTTACTGAAACTCTTTGCTACACTGCCACTAAGTTCATGTTCATATGAACATTTGACATCTGCTCTCCGCCAATTGGTTAATTACTTGAGGTGTAAACAAACTGAAGAAAGACTGAGTGCTCTAGCTTTAATATATAATCATTTTGACACTGCTGTCAACACTGAAACTACATGTAAGTTATTTATGGTGAAGCACCATAAAAGAATGGAGCATACTAACATCAGAAATGAAATGTTGCCAGTACTCACTGGTACTGAGTACCAAAACTTATTTTTTAGGCAGTACTAGTATTGGGACTTATTTGAGCTGCTTTGTCACTTTTTATGTCTACACATAGATTTTTTTTCCTTTTTCAAAAACAGGTATACTTCACCCAGCTGAGTACCTCTACTTTTTTCTTGTTAATTTCTCCCCTAGCTAACATGTTATTTCAGTAGTGCATACATGTATGTATTAGATAGCCAATGACTGCTAATAATAATATATTACTGTTGTACAGTTGTTTAAATTAGTACTATAATTTAACAATTAATAACTACTCTACATGTAGATAGTACAATACTTTAATATAATAAAACATCTATATTTATGCTAATTTAAGTCTAGTTTCCCCATGCTGTGTTACAACAGAATAATGATTTGTTGACTTTTCATTGGATGTTTGTGGATTTTATGTGAACAACCATGCAATAGTTTAAGCTATGTTTCATGTAAAATTGCTTCCAGATTTAATCTCATAGCACTTATTTTTTACAAATTATCTGGGGAGGGGCATACCCTCAGACCCCCACAGCATTAGAATACTCTGCATGCTGATTGTGCTTAGCGCAGTTTGCTGTTGGTGCTACGGCCTTCACGGCTAGTGTCAACATACATGATGGAAATGCAATTTCTGGAATATTGTAAAAAGTAAAAAGACAACAGGTATGAATATTATGTTATTTAACCCTTAATGTTTAATACACAGAGTCCGTAAATTAAAATGTTTATATAAACTCGTAAAACTAGCACACTTACGCTTTTGTTGTCTCACTAAATCCAACTGAACTTGAGGAATAGTTCGTTTTCTGAAGACACCGAGTGAGTTAATTACAAACAGTACAATACCAACGCTATCCTAATCTTGTAAAATGACTGCACGAGATACAATTTTATAAATAATACCCGAGTTCGGTATTTAAACAGAAATAGGCGATTTGTTTTATAATGTGTTAAAGAATATAGTTTACTCCATGGACAAAAACCATAAGCATATAATATTAAATAAAATAATATATAGATAAAATATCAATAATTCATGTTAATAATAAATTAACTGCTCAATCACGTTTTGTACCGTACTAACAAAAAACTAGTAGGACGCGTAAGCCTAAAACCACTTACGTCAATGAATTAGCAGGCGCGAACTTGTTCAACTCAAGAGGGCTCCTACGTCCCCATTCGGTTCCATTGTTTTTTAAACTTTTACGTTTATTATTATTATTGATATATAAGAATGTTGAATTACTCCATTTACTCAAAGAGGTTATAAAATATTTTGAAATATTCCATTTACTCAAAGATTAAAAAAAAAGTTTTGCGTAAGAATTTTCTTAATTTTAGATTGTTTTTCAAAGCTGAACAAAGCGCTTTTCCAAAATAAAAGTATATAAGATATTAGTATTTATTCTCCTGAAGAAGAATAGTCAACTATTCGAAAGCAATCGAGTTTTGGGTCTCGTTTGAAAACATTACAACTTTTGTAGGTGATCTTGTGTGCTAACTTCTTAACCAGTATTTTTCATTGTTATGGTGTTAACGCCAGTTTTTAAAAGAGAAAAAGCTGGCAAAACATGATTACAACCAATTATATTTGCCATAAAATGTTATAATGGTGCTTGTTTGTTTTGAATTTCGCGCAAAGCTACACGAGGGCTATCT